CTTCCAATGATTTGAGAAAATCTGTGAAGTTCACATATACTTTAACAAATTCGATTTTACCTTATAAAAAAATATTTTGTGTTTGTTGGGGTAGAGTGTGAGAAAGGCTAAAATTCTAGAGCTGGTCCTGTGCCTGTTCTCATTTGGGTTCTCATCACTGGTTGAGGGCCTGACATGTGAAAGGCCTCTCGGAAATTTAATGGTTAAAATCAGTAAGTAACTATCATATTATGTTTTGAGGAATGTTTGGAAGTACGCAATAGAGCATTAAATGAAGAATATGAAATTCTAGATCCCTGCACCTCCATGTAAATATAGCCTGTTCTATTAATAAATCAATGAATACATGAATTTATAAAATAGGGATAGTGAGGAGAAAAACCCTACCAACTTGGAAAGCTGAATTTAAAGAATCGTCATGTAATCTGAGTATATTTTAATTTTTGCTGAGTGGAATGAGGCAATAGGAATATATTTCATAGTAAACCCCAATGTTTTTGCTTTTAGAAATGCAGTTGTCTTATGAATCGAGCATTATGCCTATTTGGAAATGAAATGGTAAATAAAAATTTAAACCTCATTCAATTTTTCCTGGAAAACATTCTATTGCCTTTAATGGCCTTTGGCAACATGAACCACAAATCCGTGAATGGAAATACTTCTCCCTTCAGTGAGTGCAAATGAGGGAGAAAAGACGAAAGAGAAGGGATAGAGAGAAGGAAAGAGAGTGAGCTGATGAGTGGGCTGTGCAGGGATCAGTGATGTCGATATAATGAAATGTTTCAAGGTTGCCAAGACGTCAGAGGACATTAGATACAGGATGAAGATATATGTTATTACAGGGAAAGGTTAATGAAAGTAGCATTGGCCTTTGATTCAAATAAATAATTTTTGCCCTCATTGTCACAGCATTGGCCCTTCTTTACTTCTGTGAAAATGGGACAAAAGGCAGGACACATAAGACCCACAGGAAATTTGGCAAGAAACACATTCAAGGGCAAGGTCTCAGTCAGTCCAGACAGCCCAAAGCCTCACTCCCTTAGAGTATGCCACACAGCAAAACCCCTGGGCACTACTGTGACCTTGAATCACTTTTTATTTATTTACTTATCTTTATTTTTATTTTAAAAAGTACATGTCATGTTAAATATTCAGAGTTTATTGACATAAAAAACTCTACCAAAGTTAAGACAAAGCTTAGCAGTAGAGCAGTGGCTGAAATAGCTCATCCTTGAATAACTTCTTAAAGATTATACTAACTCTCCACATATTTGGGCATCAGGTGATGGGGCAGTAAGACATATATTTTGAATCAAAGCAAATGTCATTTAAACGGTTTTTCTTAATTACTTTCAACCTGCTCTCCTTAGCCATGCCGAATAGACCCTCACCTGCACCAAGGGCTCTAGAATAAACAGACTACATTTCAGAGGAAGAAAAGATTATTTCAAATTGGACATGCACTTTGTTAGTTTTGTTTTGTCTGGTTTTAACAAGTTTGCTGGCCAAATCTATCTAGGCGAATACTGCATTCCCTCATTAAGCTTTATATTCAGGGACGTTTAGTGCCTGCAGTATACAGTGTCCTAAATGTTTTGAGAGATAAAAAGAGGGGAGAATGATTTCACTTCTTTAGGATTTTTGGGGGGAAGGGGTGTTGGCGAAGTTTTGACTTCTATATACATTGTATATAGATTTTAGATGGGCACCATCTTAAGGTTTACTTTGATAGGATACCTTGAGAAACTGTAAACTGTTGGGACAGGTCGTGCAAATTGATCTATGTATGTGCCTCTGTTCCTCAGATGAAGGGAGAAATGTGAGGTTTTTGTACAGTCCTCCAGAGAAGAATTCATTCATCGCCAGGGACAGTGAGCTCCAGTTATATCTGGATGTTTGAATGTATGATTTGAGTATAGGAAAATTGTATGGATCAGTTTTCTTTTCCAGGATACAACAAAATGAGACTGGCCAGGTGATCTGGGGGCAATGTGGGCTACACCCTTTTCTCCCAAATAATGATTAGAGCATTGGAGAGACAGCATGGGAGTTCAGAGTACAGTTTCAGAATTAGTCAGATGATCTCAAACTCAGGTTCTATCAGTTACCAGCTATGTGGGTAAATTACTTTATCTTTCCTGA